TGCTAACGTTTTGCCGTACCACCAATGATGCTGGACGATATGAACCAAAACAACTCAGCAGCACAGCCCCGGCAAACTGCAGATAAACACAATGAACACGATCAGAATACGACTTAAACTACTTCGGCTATATATGCAGTTGCTACACGTACCAAGGCGAGGCTAGCACGGCTGCCTTCCCGTAATGGCGGCAGCATACTGGAGCGAGAGTAGGCCATTGCGCAGAGGACTACTGAAAATAGGTTTGTTCCGTGTGCACTCCATGCCCCAAAGCGCACAGTCAATGTTGCATCCAACTGTGGAGGATACGTCCGCACTGAATTGTAAGTCACGTGAAAAGTCCCTATAAACATGTTGATTTCTCTGATTTGGTGAACTTGATGAACCCCTTTCATCAGCGTATCTTTGTAGGAAGCTGCGGCATTCCCGCACAACGGCGGACGCAACTCGCAACGTCACTGCACACTTTCAGTGGTTGGTTGGAATATAAGGCAATATTACACTCGCAGAAACAAACGTTATGGAAACTGCAGCGTTATGATTTCGGCACTGCTCTTTTGACTCGTCGGCTACTATAGACCCTTTCGCCTAACCTCGCATGGCAAGGAGGTTATAATGGGCAGGAGGTGGCGTCCCTATGTCCAATGCACGGAGCGAGATGTAATGGAAGTAGGCGGAGCCACGAACTCTTCTCAACCAATCGGGAGCTCGTCAATGGGTGCTGCTATTGATTGTTTGGGCAAACAACCCTCGATGCCATGGCATTTCCGTGGCAACCCGCTTTGTTTGCCCCAAATATCAATGGCGGCGTCCACTGAATCGGTGTTTAACAGGCGAGATTTGGAGCCCAACGCTTGCCTGAGCCGTAGGAAGTCGACGTGTAGCGGACGCTCTCGACACCAATCCTGCAGCGTCGTCTAGAACGAGTCGTCATTGCGCGGCTTTGGAAAGCGATCGCGTGTCAGTCGTCGCACGCACGAACGCTGAGAATGGCACCGCGGATTGAGAAAGCCGCATACGAACCCTGCTTCCAGAAGGTGTTGGTTCTACACTGTCGTGATGAGAATGCGGGTTCGCATCGAGACATTCTTTGGTGCAGCAATCGAATCGAAAGCCTGCCGCGACAGCGAGCAGACGAAACAGACCGCACACCCAAAGCAGACGTAGCCTTAGCCTCACGCAGTCGACCAAGCGGCGAGCAGACGCTGCGAGCTGGGTTGGATTTAGTTCAGATGAGAACGGTTCGGTGCGCAAAGCAGTCTGTGATTGGGTATTTCTTTCCGGCGACGCTGGGCATGATGTCATGCTGGGTACTGCCCTATTCAAACGTCGCTGCCGCATGGGTACTGCCATTTCGGGGTCACGTAATGCGGCGGCCATTAGGTTGCTACAATTCGTCGCACTGCTCTCGCTGCGCGTCTTAGCGAATCCGTTGCATTCGTGTCGCGCTTCAGTGCACTTTTTGCCTTACTCTGGAACGTATCACCCGATATTTATATATACTACTTAATTATATTACATCAGTATCTGCACACCGTCTTCAGTTAATTTATGAACATTTTGACTATTTTCACCGTCGGCCTACGTGGTGCATGGGAATCCAAGCCACCACCAATGAACAGTGAGTATTCAAGTTACTCTAAAACAGCACGATATTTCATACGCGGGTTACTTTCGACAGCTCTGGTTTGCTTAGTTATAGCGGTAGCACATTCGCAGTAAAACGCCAAGAAAGATGACAAAACAATCAGAACAGGAATCCACTGTGTGTTATACTTGAAAGCATCGTCTTCTAGTTTTATAGCAGATCGAAAACAGCTGATTTTAATTAAAGGGGGAACTTGTGGAAAAGATAACCGACGAAAATTTAACGTACATATTTACTGATGCTTGGCATCATGTACGTCAACATGAGACAATTTGTATGTTCAAATCATTACACCTTCGAGTCTTTTACGCTGTTAATCGTTCTTGCAAAATAAACCTTCGCTTGATCTGCTTATTCCCAAATTTGAAAATAAAAATTAAATACAGTGATTGTGCCCATGCCTGCAATATTGCAAGTACTTTAATTATTGGGTTCCGATAGTCACTTAGAGCGTAGTAATTTACTTAAATACAAAGAATACAACCCTACACCTAAAACACTCTCACAGACAGCTTAAGAGTGCTTGCGACACGCAAAATATGACGCCGAGTATAAGCCACCCGCATAAGATCACCCTTGCACGTCGTTGTCGATGCCGAACGGAGATTTGCTTTCAGAGGCTGGCGTCGTCGATATATTTACATAAGTCTATGAAGTGGCGCCTGGCGTTTGATCTCGGCCATACGTTCTGAAATCTTCTTTCTTGCGCTCTTTAATTTTACTTAGAAAAAAGCCAAATGTCAGCCTTACTTTGACAGGCCTGTGTCTTACATCATATTTCAATTACGCAGTATACAAATGTCCGTATAGAAACTAGTTTGTTTCCTAAGGCCAATTCTCTGGAATGCCGTTATTAAGTAATTTAGCAGGATAGATCAGGGTAGATTATAATAGAAATATCCTACTCGGTCTAGGTCGAACTATGGAGATAGTTTTCCAGTCAATTTTTAAAGAAAACAGTACGAGAAAATATTTTTATGGGTTATTTGCTTGATTATAGGAAATTCTCTAGTTTGCAAACTTCACGAAAAGGTAATGTCTAGGAAAATCAAACAATGAGCAGTAAACTCGAACGTTAATCTGTTTTTTGCGATTTAGAATAGTTAATCAAGTTATGGACCTGCTTATTCACTATGCATTTATGCGCTAGTCTCCACCTTGTTGAAAGCGACTATGAGCTAGTGTCATCAGGCACGGCCATTCACGATACTAGTACTCCTTGTGCATCAGTTTTGTTGTTTTGTCGCCAAACCTTGTATAAATTAACAACAAACATAATGAGATGCATCACACATGTTCGAAGGAATACCTACAATTTAGGCTCAAAGTAACTTTGTGGTTCCCGAAATAGCCAGTTACTGCTGTTTTTATTGTTTAGGGTCTAAAAGGGACACATTTTCACAGTCAAAATAATTACAAATGATATAATACATAAATACAGCCGTGTACCGGTTGAACCCCAAATAATCAAGTTGAAGCAACCTAAATGTAGCGAGTGCGTCGCAACACTTCATCCATCAGTCTGGCAACTACAGAGACGAAATCTATAATATTAGCTAGGCTTCAATGTTTGCATTCATATGCAATGCCTTGCACGTTCCCCGGTTTTAGTTGTTCGGCCATTGTGCAGTGGTTTCGGCCTTTTCACAAACGGCACGTGACTTTCGAAAGGAGGGCAGTTGCATACGTTTAAAAAAGGGGCAAAATTCCCATTCGACGACATGTTCTACCATAAAATCTTTCACCTGACGTCGAGACGCAGCCGATGCTACAACCTAATGGCGCAAGTCAGACAGCTTCAAAAGCACATTATCTTGGTGTTCGTCATGCTTCTGTACGTACGCGTTCGATCATTGCTGAACCAATCATATGCAGAAAAGGCCGTGTGACTTATGCTTTTCACGCTGCTTGATGAACCCCATTACCTCAAAGCAGCGGCTGCATCTGAGCTTAAGCTGAAACGGAGCATAGTGAATAAAACTTACTACGCGAAAATCACACTGGCCTTGGAGCCGACAGATTAAAGGGATACTTCAACGAAATTTCAAATATCCCCCTCGTGTTCAAAAATAGGTTGAATATGATCCACAATATCCGTAAATGACAATCGCACGTTTGTATTTCGAGCCTGGTGGCTGTATTTTTCGTTATAAACGGCCTACTCTGGCAAGCGCTCGGAGAAGGCCCAGCGGAGACCACGTGACATCCAACGCAATCGTGACGTAGGTCGTCTCAAGACGAGCAAAGCTACGGCGAGGCTGACGTCGAGAGGATGGCCTAGTCGTTCCAGCCACCGAACCGGCTGCTTTTGTACGAATTTTGAGTGACGGGTTAATCTTCTGTAATCTTGTAGGGGGACAATAGCGACTTCTGCGACACACAAAAGGCATTCTCGGGAAGAGGGGAGTTCCTCCTGCCCCTCTTCTCTCGTCGTGGCCGGAGACGAGACAACCTCCGTCACTAGCTGTCAAGGTTCCTAGACGGGCATTACAAGCGAGGCGTCAGCGACATCCACCACGTGCTCTTTGCTAATCGTTTAATTCGTTTTAAAATTCCTTTTCGTGACTTTTTTAACAAGATCCTGGTGTGTTCGATGTGATGCTGCTTTTTTGAACACATATAGACCAAAAAATGAGCGCCGAAATTTCGTTGTAGTATCCCTTTAAAGGACGGTCCTTACATGCAGTGGAGCGCAGATATAGGGAGTATTCACTGGCGGCCATAGCTGTGTGCGCGAATGTTGAGCACGTGCTGATGCCGAGCTTCCACAGTTCTTTTGCAACGTGCATTCCGCACCATCAAGAGTGCTGGTCTTAGCAACCTATTGATGTGAGCTCGTTCTGAGCATGCGCTCTAAACAGCTCCCACAAATATGGCGTCCAGTGAATACTCCCTATAGCGCCGTTCACGTGTCGTCAGCTACTTATTGTCTGCTATGAGCAACAGTTTTGACAGTGCGATAAAGATATCACGAACGCTCCCGTCAGCTAACGCTTTACGTATCAACAAGCCTTTAGCGTGGTTGAAGGGCCTGGACTCGCGCGCACAGCTTCTGGGTTTTTCCTTTGTATTGGGAGGGATGGTTGCCGCAACCTGTCGTCGTGGAAACCCATCGAAACAGTGGAGCCAGCCATCGCTGCTGTCTCGGCGAATCCGCGCCGGTGGCAGCCCTCTTTTTTGGCGAAGGTCGAGAGCGCGACAACATGGTCAATGCGATGCGCTTGCGTTCTTTCGGACGCGGAGTTTGTAACCTCCTCGCGGAAGGTTTGGCTCTGTAGCCGCTCTCTCAAACGCATATGAGCGGAGTAGGATATTTCTTTTTGTAAACTGGATGATTCGACTTGAAACTCACTCTGGCCAAGAGTGGCGTACACTTTCGCCCAGACGTCCCTGTCTTCAGCCGTCAGAATGCCTACGCCGACGTCCTTCTCGGGTGACATCTGTACAACTCGGAGGAGCTGGGTGAGGATCCTGCTTTCGTTGTGGGGCACTCCTTGGGCATTGTATGCGTTGATGGTGAACATCTGCGTGGCATAAAATTCACACTCAGCTTCCAGGCGCCAAGAACAAGGTGAAAAAGTGGTGTCATTTGTTGTTTCAGGGATCTGTTATGACTTGAGAAATCGAAACTCGGTATTTCGGCCCCATAAATAAACTCTTATTTTCAGGAGGCTGAATGTTTGTGTGAATTTAAGCTAATAAATGTTGACAACATGCAAAGTTCTTTTAGTTTTTTTCTTTAAACATGATGTTGATTGGACCAAAAATAAAACACGAAAACGGATTGTCTTGCGCTGAGGTATAATTGATATGGCGCGGGCGTCAGTACAATTTATATCAGAGAACCAAACTTCTCAGCGAGAAAGAAAATTAAGTGTCTTCCTCGCCAACCATATTATTTCGTTAAAATAAATACCACAGGAACCCGCACTGTCATTCATTTGTTTAACCTCCAGTAGGCACAGTTGGACGTCGGCTGATAAAAGCAATTTCGTTTTGGGTTATATTTTGTTATTTATGTAAAGCTCCCTATTTGAACTTGCGCATTCATCACCACCGCTATTTTCACTCATCCACATGGAGCTGCAGCATTCTTCGGTGCGTAGCTAGTTTGTGCAATTCAAAAAAGTCGGGTTTCAATTTTTCTTACGCGTTGGGTTAACCGTATACATGCAGGGTGAGATACAGTTAGCACAAAAACGCGGTCCTCGTTTCTCTTGAAACATATTATCCAGCTGAAATGCAGGATAGCGTTTTGAAATGTTCCAGGCTCCAAGTTTGACTGCTCTGGCACGGTTGGGGAGAACACTGACCTTTTATTTAGTTAAAATAGGGCCGAAGACGAGGAGCAGTCTTCGTAGTCTGGTGCCATTCTGTTGCGAAGTCCAGCTGTGCGGTCTCTCAGGGGATCTTGCGCCGTATTCCCATATACCCTCGTACGTAGAGTTACCTCGCGGTGGGATGAACTGGTGAAATCGCGAGGCATTGCGGCATCCAAACCAAAGAGCACTATCAGCGGTATGATGGTGAGTCATGAGATTATTACCCAAAATTATGGAATCTGGATATTAGACGGAACTGATGCGAGCGCGGGGCAACTTCCGCCGACGGCGCGGCACCTGAAGCCAGTATCTTAATCCGATGCCCTGAGGAGCTGATCATGGCGAGCGCAGAAATTCTCTCTCGTGAGCCGCTGTATGTCGGTGCGTGCGAGACCACAGCAGTCGTCTAAGTGCCGCGATCGGTGAAATATCCGTCTGTGGGCGTCTAACTTATGACGAATACCTCTCGTCCCTTTGGGGTGCTTGAGGAGCGACGTTTCGGGAGCGCTCGTCCACCACTGTACGTTTGGGATCAATTCAGATGAATATCGCTCGTTGCTTTGGAGCAGAACCGACTCCAGATCTGGATCGAAATCGCCCAGATTTCGCTCCGTCGAAAATTGCGAATCCAACTGGAAGCAGATATGAATAGGGAACGTGACTTCGAGGCGCGCATTGGATGCTAGTGGCGATTTTGAGACCCACTGACGAAAATGGCGGCAAAGATAAAGGTCGGCACTTTCTGTGAAAGTTGATGTCGCATATCACACTATGTTGTGGCTCTGTAGTCATATGTCACGGTAATAAACCTGAACGCGCTAAAAGACAGATTTTTTTGTGCGATGACGTCGCATCAGGGATGTTAAAGGGACACTTAAGTGCTTTTTGAGATCTTTGTATGGTCATAACTTAATCTAAGAGCTGTAAGCGTCCTGAAAGAAACCGAAATTACATTCATGCGCGATTGATTTGCATATTAAAAATTGCTCAACAATTGCTAAACTCACTGTGTCTCAGAACGACAGATGGCGCTACCGAATCTTGCTGAATATGGTCGAGCGGCCAACGGCGCTTGTGAGCCCCTCTCACGCGATGTGTTCCCGCGAGGACGAGCGTCCGAACAGTCCCGCTCGTTCACGTGCGCGTTGTACGTTTGGTGCGTTGTTCGTTTACAAACACTTCCCCAGTTCGTAAGATGCGGCAGCCTAAGAGTGATATCGTAAGGGTGGCTAGACATTACGCGCTCATTGTTCCCCACGACTCGGGTGGCTTTTTTATACCCATTCTCTAGACGGCAAGAAAATCTTGCAGTTATCCGGCAAAATCGATCTAGCCCGCGTCCGGTAGCACAAATTTCCCTTGTCATGACGCCAATGCTACACGCGCCCCTAGAGCCGCTGGGTTTTGAGCGTCGCTAAAAGATGTACCCGGGAACTCTTGACTCCTTCAGAAAGGCCCCACGCCTCTGCAGGCTCGCGAATTGGTATTACAAAAAAAGTCTAAAGGACGAACGCAAAACAACCTGAGCAAATAGGGTATTTACAAAATACGTCTCAATGGTTCGAACAAGGTTCTAACTTCACAGGCAGTAAAAGATCGGACCCATTTTTTTTTTCTTGTGCTCCGCGCCGGCCGTTGGCTTCTGCCGGAAAGGGCGGACGTCGAACGAACAAAATCTAGCTCGCCAAGATCGGCGGCCAACTGCCCGTTGTCCGAGCTCATCCTGAGCTCTCGACCTGCATCAGCACCTACGAGCATGCGACTGCCTTGTTTAGGGAAATTTCGGCGCAGTTTATAAGGAAACGGCTACAAACAAATCGCGCATAAATTCCTTTACCATTGAGACCTATGAAAACGCCACCTGACATTAAAGGTGAGGCCCCACGGCTGCCATTTTGAAAAAGCTTCTACTTCGTGGGACTGTTCGCTCACAACAAAATACGAACACTATAGGAACGACGGCCACACTGCACATGCTACAGGCCAAATGCAGTGCTATCTCCTCTTCTGTGCACGTTTTGTCCTATTCTGTATATAGGGTATCCCAAGTGACCAAGCTCGATCTAAAACGGACCGTAAAAATTGCCGCCCGAACGAAGCAGCCAAAACTTTTCGTAAAACTTGTTTCACAAATCAGATTTTTCTTGTAACATTACGAAACGTAGCTTCCTCTCTGTAAAAAATAGGGCCAAGAAACTTGTGCTGGTCAACGGAGGACGGCGATGCCGACGACCGAGTTGAGTTGCAGGGCGCGTTTCGCGCGGGCATTGATGGATTTCGTCGGGAACACAGCCCTAAGGTGAAGCCGACCAGCAAAAGAAAGCAGACGACACGCGGACGAAATCCGTTCGCAGCAAAAGCTCCGTCCTTATGCAAAAGAGTTTGTTTTCTTTAAGTTTTGCTTTTATTGTCTGCATTAATGTTTAAACCAAAGGTACATTACAAAGAGATTATGTTCATTTTAATAAACCACGGTGGTTGCGAGCATTCTCATTAAGGGGGTAGCGTCATCTATCAATACGAGCGCCAAACGCACCCCGCCAGTCCACTTCGTCGTCTGTGCTGCCGCCCGCCATTGACCCTGGCAAGTCGTTTGGCACTGCTCTTTATAAAAAAGGAGCTATGCTTTGTAGTTGTAGAAGAGAGATCCGACCTGTGAAATACACCTGTGACGAAAAGTTTAGAATGTTACGTGCAGGCGCCGATTTTTACGGTCCATTTCAGATCGATTGGGAATTACAGCTTCTGTATAGGCTCCCTGCGGGAGCCAGAGTTCCGCGTTTATCCCGTAGGGTCAGTTTTTTTACACGAGTGCGGAGTTTGCTCCTCACGTGACTCAATTCTCTGCGAATAGCGGCGCCGCGCGTTTGAGGCTCGCGTCCCGCTCAGAAGCAGGAGATCGTACGCCTGGGCGCGTATAACGTAACGTCTTCTTTCCTGCGCGACATCTGATCCGGCTCCTCACGTGATCGGATCTCGGCGAATAGCAGCGCTTCGGCACGTGGAAAACAGACGCGCAACAGTGACTCTCGTAGGAAGCCTATACAGGAACTTTAGTGGAAATATTCGCCCAATGAAAACAAATATTTTGCGGCTTGTTTTGTGCATTTATTGTAAAATAAAAAAAAAAAGTATTTTTACGGGCATAAGTGCTTAGCAGACCCTCTATTTTAAAGCCCGGATCATTACCTCATTCCGCTTAAAAGGTGACGACATTTGGCGATTGACGAACCCGATTAATATCAAAACAATTGAAAAGCCTCTGTATGTTAAAGATTATTATTTGGCAGGAAGGTGTGGCATCGTTTTCTTTTGATTAAAATGACTGTTAAAGTATTTATAACGTCTTCCATTTTAGTTTTTCTCCTAAACTGAAAAACGAAAGAAGAAATCGGGTGGTCGTAGCGTTGTTTTCAACAGGATGCGATTACTCCGTGCTCCAAACGTGCCTTTTAAGCACAGCATGGAACTTGGCATTCGCACGTGATGATAAGTGTCGTCACGGCACACAATGGCCACGGACGTGAACCCAAATATTCGCCTGCGGATCGTTTGCTGACGAGCGCGTACATCCGAGTGATGTATTCGTGTCCAATGCGTGTGCCTGGCATACCTTCCTCCATACTCACAAAACCTGACAGTTCGATGACGGAGCCAGAATGCCCGTTCGGAGATTCGGAGCCGGAGGATCTGGTAGCACAGAGCATTTCTCGGGGAGTCTGGTATTCAGCGTACAGCGTTTGCAGCGGCGAGGAACCGAAACATAGTTTTCAAACCCGACGAGGAAAGAAGCGGTAGCCCGAGGAACGCGAGAAGCACGAGCGGATATTCTATCGCTCGAGACAAGTGCGTCTCGGCGTCTTGCCGCAGCGGGGCGCCTATTACATGACTCTTCTCTGCCGCTCTACCTTTCCGCTTTCGGTGACTGCGTCACGTGACAATCTGTGTGGCTTTGTCTGTATAGACGAGGCCGTGGTACAGGGATAGGCTGATATGCTGGAGCACTTCGGATACGTCATTGTGAAAAGGCGAAGAGCTTTAAGAAGGAGATAAAGATTGGCCCCCTATATTTTAACAATTTCGTACCGAAAAGCCTGCTTTTTGTTTTCTAATTTTGTGTACTAGTTTTCTTTTAGCCAACCCAACAGTATCCGATAAGAAAAATTTCAATAAAATATTTATCCGGGCACAAAATTAATTTCACGGTCCGCTAAGAAAGAACGGCATTTCTTGATGCGCCGAATAACATATTAAGTAGCTTGACTAGATCGTTTTGATAACTTCAATAACTATACTCCGTACTTATCCACGCCTTTTCGCATGCTCACCATGTGGTTATCAAAGACAAAATTGTATCCCCTAAAACATCAAAATTGTGTAGATTTTAGGAACAAGGTGGCGGCGCATAGAATAAAAAAGGAAGTCAAATATACCATTCTCCCTCGGACACATAATTGCCTTCATTATTTTTATTCTGCGCTACCAGTAACAATAATACAGATGTGACGCTCGTGTTTATACACTGTAAGTTCGGTGTGGCTTTGAGATGTGGCCACGCCGGTTTACGCTGTAGATGATAAATTTAGCCAGTAGATTACGACTGCTATCCTGGGTCCTTAACGTGCATCACGCAGCAGGGCTACATGACCATTCGCCGGTAAGATGCGCATGCAGATCGACACGAGCAGCTGCGGGGAATGAACCCATCCACGGATACCGTGGCTCTGCAACGTGAGCTTTCGCACCACGTTCTCCGAGATGCAACGCGCTAACACACTCGGCAACCGATTTTTAGAAGCGCAGGTCTTACGCGCCCGTTTCCGTGTTTCGCGGCGTGGCCGTCGCGGCCTACGTAACCGCGCTAAATTTAGCGGCGAATTTGACGCCAAGTGACCCCCAACACGAATTCGATTTCCCGGTTGAATTTAGTGGGAAATTTCACGTCACGTGCCCTCAACACCAATTTAACTCCTCGCTAAATTTAGCGGAAAATTGACGTCAGGTGGCCTCAACAGCAATTTAATTTCCGTTAAATATAACGAGAAATTGAATTTCTGTTGAGGTCACGTGACGTATATTTTCACACTAAATCTAGCCCACAAACTGAATCTTCTCATACGTGACGTGAAACGAAGTCAGATGACGTCAGTTTCGTCGATCAGTTCAGCCGGGAAATTGAATTGGTGTTTGATGCCACTTGGCGTCAATCTTCCAGGTAAATTTATCCGGAGGAAGAGAAAAGGAGAGGCGGAGAAGGAAAGATTGGGGGAGGAGGAGGAGAGGAGAAGTAAGGGATGGGGAACAGGAGGAGCAGGAGGAGCAGACGAGGAGAAGAGGAGGAGGAAAAGAGGAGAGGGTACGGAAAAGAACTAGGAGCACACCCTCCCCTTCGTACCCTCCCCCCGTCCTCAGGAGCTGCGCTTTAATTTCGCGTTGCAGATATATGTATTCGTTTTTCGTTTTTTCCTTACTGTTCGGCCACCGATTCTCCCGGCGCTGATTGTAATGGAGTATTCAGACGGGGATGCTTTGAGGGGAAAGATGTGCGTGACGTCAGTGCTCGGCGGAACAAGCGGGGCTTCCTCCCGGACTCCAGCATTCGCACGAACAACGGCGAGCCGAGAGGGGTGTCTGTGTTATCAAACGCTTTTAGCAGTGACATGTTTGATAAAAGGCCTCCGTGCGCGCTCTCGAAAGTGTAAAAGTGAAGGCCTAGATGGTGCGGCGACACACCATTATGGCATCGGTGCTGTTAGATGCATCAAGATTATCTGGTGAAAAAGTTTGTACAACATGTTATGAATTAGATGGCGCAGCACGACAAGGAAAAGAAATACTTCTTGAAGGTGTTGGTGCAACAAAAAAGAGTAGAGCCCCAACCAGTTGTATGTGGAGCGTCCTCAGGACGGCATTGATGAATATCGTAGAGTCCTTTGAGTGCCTCGTACGGCTCAGACAACAGCACAAGCCACAGGTGTGCCTATCCCTAGGCCATCACCAGTATCCCCCTGAGCAAGCTCAATAAAGTTTGCCAGACACGCAAAAAAAGCCCGCCCATCGCAAATAAGTTTCACTCCAAGACGGGGACTGTTTGTTCAGCACGTGCAAAAATTTCTCTCATCACACCTAGATATCTACGTAAGCGCGGCTGTGCGCTATAACGCATAGCCGCGCTTATGCCACGCTTTATAAGGCGTGACATTGTTACCACGTGAGGCGCATCGCGAGAGGCCAAGGAAGGACTTTTTCCACCCCGTGATTCAGTGGTATCAGGGGATTTTTGATCAGATCAAATTACGTGGCTGTAACTGCTGAAGAGACCAAAAATTAAAGCTGTGGCTTTGTATTCTGATTCTCTCCTGGTCTTTGGTGTCACATATAAAAAATGCAGTACTAAAACTTTTCCTCTCCTTTCCCATGAGGTATAACGCAAAAAATGGGTGTACGTTCTGGCCAACTGATTCAACCCTTAGTGCCTTGAAGTTTCTGCTTTCCAAAAGTTCAGACCAAAAGGAATATAAGTGATTAGCCGCGACTTGGGAAAACGATCGTTAGGCAACAAAAACACCGTTTTTTGATCACCACCACCATTCCGTGAATCACGCATATCGGTAAAACAGTATTCGTGCTTATAATATATCAGTTTTATTGAACAGAGCACGGTTATTATTTACATCGTTTTCATCTTGTCTAGTGTGAGATTCATTACCTCTTTTAAAGCCCCTGGCGGCTGCTTGTTACAGTTTGTAATAATATATTTAACTACGGCGCGCAACATGCATCTCCGTAACTCCTTAGCGAATCTGATGCTACGAGGCTGTTTTAATCTAGTGCATCTGCTAAGTTGTATCATCCCACCTGGGTCATTGTGTACACGTTAAATATATATATATATATATATATATATATATATATTTTTTTTTTTTTTTTTTTTAATTTGACACAGGAAAGTTTTTTTAGCTTTGATTGTAACATTTTTTTAAAGCGATGATACATATGTATTCTACGCTTAAATTTGTCTTCACCGGCTGGCGCATGTCAGATTTAGCAGAGCGATCAATTTGGTTGGTCCCCAGAGAAATATTTGGCTTATTGCAAGATGAAGATGGCTCATTACCGGGCATCGAATGCACCCAGTGTAAGTTCAGCGCTCACGTACCTGGCAGTTGTGTATGGCTACCATGTGTTTCCCGGATTTCTGGAGGGGCGTATTGAACTCCAGTTTATCACAGGCTATGGAAGGCTTGCGGTAAACACTGAAGACACGCTGGTACTGCGACATGTCCAAGGGAGTTTTTCCACGAACACCAGGCTCGAGAAGTTGTCTGTTTGGAAATGTGATAAATAGTAAAGAATCATACATCGCACATATAGAACATTTTCGAATTCCCATTAAGCAACATTGGTAACACAGACGTCTTAGGCACGAAGCCTCAGATTAGAGCCGAGTTCTCGCTGAACGCTGATGCGGCCAGTGCGTCCGACACCTGCCGAGAGTACGTAACGAAACACTGGCTGACTCGGATTATTTCCGCGCTAGCTGCTAGATGGCACGAACATTTGATAAACGTTATATCCCATTACAGTGGATTAACGTATATAAAACTGTGTAGTAGTGTACTACTTTACCTTTCAATTAAATGCTTGAAATTCAGCGCTCCAGCTGTGAGTGCAGCTGCCTGTCTGCAAATATATGTTGAACACAGTCAATCTGCAAGTTAAACATTCCCTAGAGAAATTAAGTTATTATAAAAGGTGAAAAATACCTGAGTTGATCTTTTTTCGAGGAAAAGTTTTTCCTCGGAAGACACATTGCGACTGAAGTGCTCGACAAAGGAAGTCTAGACTTCAGAAATTTTTTGAGATATATTTCTGAAAACTTAAAAATATCTTGTCAGTTATCAGCGTGCTCGACTGTTTTCAAGAAAACTGCAAATTAATTTTTAAGAAAGCTAGGAGGAAACTGGCGGTGCTCACCCAGTTTGAGTTGCGGGAAGCTCTCTCTACAAGGAGCGTGTGCAGAATTTCTCCGTCGCCACCAGGCTTTCCAAAGTCCTGAACAACCTATTAACAGGGTGAGAAGTTCAAGATTGCGTTTTCTGCAAAAGTTATTTGTTTCCTGAAAAAAAACAAAAAAACACGCGCGCCCTCTTTTTTTTTTAGAGATTTTACATTCGTGTTGCTGAAGAAAAAAAAGAATAAGGAATGGCGCAAAGGAACATGGTCCTTTCTTTATTCTCGCGTGATATTTTTATGAGGAGGACCCCCTTCCCCCTACAGTTCACTATAGACAAATATATTCTGGGGGCGTCAGCGAGCCCACGCCAGGATGTATCGAAGAACCTGGTCGTAACATCTTGCTTGCTTCCCAGATCAGCGCAATCAGAGATAAACCCGGGACATGCAGTACTTCAAATCGTACGGCTCAATCTGTTCATTGAAAGTTCTTACCTCCCATAATGACCTCGACTACCATGACTAGGGCCAAACCATTTGTGAGAGCGTCAGAAGCACAAGATAGAAGTGCCTGAAGCCAATTAGCGCCTCGTTTGCGGCCTGGAATAGCCACCTGCGACTCTCACGGGAATTCCTCGTGTACAACCTTATAAATTGTTGAGGACCCATTCTGCACTAGCCTGAGAAAGACACACTCCATGTTACAAAAGCGTAACTTGCGGGCTGTCCTCACAGGACATGCGCGGTAATTGCTGGGCGGAGGAGGTGGTGTTTTATCCGCTTCCGGGCCGCTTTGAAGTCGCTTTTGTAAAGTGTGAAATCACCCTCCATTAGCCTTCCCGCACAAAGCGTTGGAGCGTGCTCATAATGGAAAGCAGGCCGTTACTGCTCTCTTCTGGCTCGTCAAGGCTTCCGTTGCTGCTGACGGTCCCCAACCTCCCGAAAAGAACAAAATCCACGAGACGGCAGTGACAGGGTGAGGAGGAAAGCCGTACTACGCCGTATTCTCTGCGTGGTTCATGTTCTTGGTCAAAGCGGACGCGCGCACCAAAAAGTTCGCTTTCTTTTCAGAGTTGAGCACGTGTTGATTGCGCACGGCAGCAAATCCGGTATAAAAAACCATTAAAAGGGCACTAAAAAAATATTTTCATGGCGTATATGGGACGGGTATTAAAAAATGTCATAAAAAAACAGAGCAATATTTAGGACGCTAGACGCAGTTTAGATGGGGTTCACCACCACCTTTCGCCACGCTCATAAACGGTGCCCCGCCCATTACTACTGGACTGGCTTAGCTGCTCGGCTGAACACGTTCGCAAGTTTAACATCTCCCTGTCATGACGTCCGATGCGTCTAGTCTGCCGTCTTATAGTTTGCTGGTCGTGCGGGCAGACGCGCGGCAGATTACTTCGTCGTCTCCTACTAGAACCATACCACCTTGAACGCCCATAAAACATGGCATTGAAGGCGGTGTGTCCGCGTCTGCCATCGCCTGCTTCCCTCTGCTGTTCTACCTCACACGGACACCGGGAAGTTTATGGCGTTCTTGTGAAGAGATATTCCTAAACCATATGCACTCTCACAATACACAACTATGAAACGGCGTTCTAGGAATCTATCGTAACACGCCGCAAGGTCAAATAAAAGCTTCTTCTGCGTCTGCCGATGCACACTGTAAAAGGCAACGAAAAATAAACGAAAACGAATGAAAATACATATGTCGTACTTTCATATTTTCTCTTCTTAATGTTTTCTCCCATAGTGTTCGAGAGCAAGTTGGATGGTCGTCATGACACACACTAAACGCGACCATAAGATATTCGCATCAGCAAGCCAGGATCACTGCTTAAAACATAATACCTAGAGGCCTTCCGAAGCGAAATGACGGAAACATATATACCTAAAGAACCATGATGCAAAAGGAACACCCCATTTTCTAGAGCTAACAAACCCATTTAAAAAGTCAGATTTACTTGTGGCCACAACACAACAGCTCTAATGGAGCTGAAAAGAAGGTCATGCTCGGCTAAACCTCCATTTCGGGATTCGAAAATGCCGTAAAAGGATAAACATATTTTCCGCTTTCATCTCCATGCTTTCGAAGACGTTCGCGTTTTCTGGTGTTGAGAAGTTGTGTAGTGTCGCCATCAGAGTGTCGGGTTTCGCACTGCATAGGCTGGGTAGACTGGCTTTCGGAAAGTGTCTATCTGCCCGCGAATTCTCGCCTGTGTAGGTTACCATGCAGTACTAACACTATGGTCGGAATTACGATGTTTGCACAATTCTCAAAGTAGCGGGGCGGCTTTTACGAGAACTGACACATGTATTCATTGTCAAACCACATAACCGAACACATCAAGTAAGGTCAAGCAAAGTAGCGTAGTACGTGGCTCGCTAGGCTTACGCCATTCCCGCTACAAAAACAAGCGCCCGCACAGCGCTTCCGAAGGCCTGCACATGCGGAAATCGTTTACTGCAAACTACATCGGATGTGATATTCCTTCGAATATGTCGCTAAACGCTAAACTACTCGCACTCATATAGATATAAGAAGCTAAATGAGTTGCACGGTTTCTAATTTTGCTCAACGTAGACGCCAGCAGCCATCTTTGTTTTTGTTTGGAACTCAAACAGAAGTAAAAATCTAGTGATATTTGTTAGAAAAAAAAAAGATGATCTATAAGGTAAAACTATAGTGACTGAAAGGGGAATCGTGAAGGCCGCAGTAGGCCCACAATGACAAAGAGGGGCTCGTGACGCGATGAAAATATTTGAAAAAGCCTATATTGTAGACAGGGTCCATCTACACTCTCAGAAAGGAGGGGAGTTCGAGGGAGTTAGACGGCGTGACAACACCCACAGCGTGCGCTAGCACCCCTTCAGAAGGAATATCCTCTCTCGAATAGAAGGAGCGAGCAAGGGGAAAGAGATTAGGGTGCTACAAGAGTTCCTTGGGGATTCGAAAGGATTATGGGCAAGGAAGCCTGCCCTCGGGCCAGGCTTCCTTTGCGAAGGGGAGAGTGGATGACTGAAAGTTAAATCCAACCCTGGAGTTTATGCTTTTACTTTACTTCTTTTTTTTTTCTTTTTTGCTTCATAGATTCGTTGAAATTGTTGACGTCCCCTTTTTCTTCGTTTTGTTTTTTTACGTTTTCTTATTTACTTCCAAGTTCGAGAAGTTACGTGACTGTTTCATGGAGGGCGCTGGCGGGCAGGTCGACAGACCGACACACCATGTCGTGACTTACATTTTGCGAGTTGGAGTTTGTACAAGCTTACGATTCAGCACGTAACCTTCAAAGGAGGTTTAGATCGATTTTGTTTACGGTTCTGATACAAATGTTTTTGTCGCAGGTCTGATCCGATAAGATAGAGGACACAAACCAATGTGAGACAATCTGGGTAACTAAAACGAAAATAAAAATATCTCGCCATTATTTTGTTTAGCGGTGGGAGACACTGAATGGTGCAGCCCGGTGACAACCAATTTAGTCAGCTGCACGCGCTGGCGACCGAAAAGCTTTTAACATAGGAAATATATAGCAAAAAAATAAAATCGCGGAGAAAGCGTGGAGACAATATTTATTCTAGATTTGATGTTCCGCGGGCACAACGTATTTGCGAACTCTCAAAGTTCAACCAATATTAAATTTATGCCGCGTTTTATATATCGTACAAATAAATTGCGAAATAGAAAGCCCGCGAACATACTCATTCGAGGCACAACTTTCCACAACGTTTTTGTTACACAGCGCCCTAACTCGCTCAACCGAAGTTACTAGTGCTGGGGAGTCAGGACATCGTCGGAATTTTTCAGTTGGTATGATGACCCTTCTGTTCGCGTTAGGATATTTTAAAGTAAAAATTTCTGGGAGCCATCTTTTTTTTTTCATTTTGCCAGTTTGAAAAGTTTCTTGACTGCTTCATGTACGGCTCTGACCCACTGCCTGATGGGCCGAGACGCCATTCCGTAAATTACATTTTGTGTGTTCCAGTTTCGACATGCTTACGGCCCTGCCGGAAACTGCGAGCGGAGTTTAGGTCGTTTTCGTTTATTATGTCCCTGTTGTACGAGAGATCCGAACGAAATAGAGGTAAGAATACAACGTGAGACGGGTTGGGTGGTGGATCGAAAACAAGAATATTTAAAGGGGTGATGCAATGATTTAAATGCTGAAGGAATTTGTAGCTCGTAATATTTGTATCGTTTATCTTAAAAAAAAAATAATAAAACTCACGTCTATTTTTTTTTTTATAAATATCGCAATTTCGATTCGTAAAATGCAAAGGAAAAAACGGTAATATCTCAGGTCTTTAAACCACGCGCGGCGGCCGGTGTGACGGATATCTGGGTGCATCCGGGTGAGTTTTCGTGACGCCATCTGCATGAGGCGCACAAAACCATTCCCTATGATGCTGTGGTGAAAGAATGCGAACACACACACACGTTCAGACACAAAAGGGAAGATGAAAGGGGGATCGACCTTAAAAATACTATTTACAGAACCCAGACAAATAGGTTAAACCTGTGCGCCTGTTTTTATGCGAATGGCTTCGGTGTAGATACCTGTGTCTATTTCGGTTTTCAAGTAGAACAGGATGACGCCATTCCACGTGGGTACGAATGAGTGCAAAAGGCTCACCTTGAAAAATCAGTTTGTTGCAGGACCAGTGTCGTGTATGAAATATCTCTAGCTTGTGGGTCTACGTATGTAGGTCAAACATAAAGACGCATTAACGACAAATTAAATGAGCATAAAAGAAATGTCAAGACCAATACAACGATCTCTGAAATAGCTAAACGTGTTCACAAGCAACTCTAAAGTTGTGGTTGGGGCCATTTTTAGGGAATAAAGT